AGACGTCTAAGAGACGTTTAAATTTTACCAAGACATTTTTTTAAAAAATATATAAAAATGCAGTGATTTACAATACAAATCTTAGATTTGCCTTAATCTAGGCAAGGGAAGTTATAAAAAGAAATCAATGTAAATAAAGTGTAATTTGATATATTTAAAATAAAATAATAACTTTACAAAAAATAAGAATAATTCTTCAAACAAAGTTACATTTTCAAATTAAAAACTAATAGGTACAGTAGAATATAATCGATAGTGCATTATAAATAGAAGAAAATTGCTTAAAAATGGAAAAAAATAAATAAAATACAACAGTTAAGCCATCATTGATCGAAATCCATATTAGTGGATGTTCTCTTTATTCGGTCAGAAGAATGCCTAATTACTTTTCCAATAAGTTGGATGGTATCCATTTTGATTAAGTTTTTATTTGACGTTAAAGCAGCTTCTAATAAAAACAACAAAACATGTTTCAAAAAGATCATTAAAAAAAAATGTCATGTATACATACACTTGAATACATGTCATGTTCCATAGCCAAAGAAATTAAATTTTTTAGCTTACTAATGTGTTTGATTAATTAAAAATTAAAAAACATCATTTTTAATTTTTAATTAATCAAACACATTATTAAGCTAATAAGAATATTCTGACAAAATAGTGTCTGTCGGCAGTCTACATCATAAAAAAGAAGATAAATGCTGTACTGTCAATCATAAATGTTAAAATTCAAACTTTTGCTAATTACTTACAAGAGCAAAATATTTTTAATTGTATCAGCTAGATTTTTACCCCCAATTAATGATAACTGTTTTACCTAAAAAGTAACAATGTATTAGAAATATTGAAAATGTTTATAACAATTTAAAATAAATATTGTAATAATATGTAACATATAAAATATAAAGTTGAAACTCATGTATACAAAAGTGATGTATTGGATATCTCATAAATAATTGCTTCCAATACACAAACGCACACACACACACACACTCATATATATATTAATATATATATATATATATATATATATATATATATATATATATATATATATATATATATATATATATATATATATATATATATATATATATATATATATATATATATATATATATATATATATATATATATATATATATATATATATATATATATATATATATATATATATATATTAGGGTGTCCCAAAAAACAACATTTTTGAAAATAATCTGCTCTCACCCCCTAAATGTGTTCTATCTAATGCAAAAACACTAGGTTTAAGTTTTTTTTGAATAAAAAATATTTTAAGGGGTCCCTCAAGACCCTCAAATATTTAAAGGGTTCCTAATATTTTCGAAAAAAAAGTTTTTCAAAAATATGTCAACCTGGTACTCAAATGAAGCGAAATTATATAAAAATTTTAAAAATAATACTCATTTTGAAACAAAATTGTTATTTTTGATTTTATAACATAAAAAATTGCGTTTTTTAAGAAAAAATGAAAAAAATGCATTTCTAATGTTTTTTTATGACAATTTTGATAAGTTAAAAATATTTCGAAATGAATATTATTTTTGAAATATTTATATCATTTCGCTTCATTTGAGTACCAGGTTAACATATTTTTGAAAAACTTTTTTTCGAAAATATTGGGGACCTATTAAATATTTGAGGGTCTTGAGGGACCCCTTAAAAGATTTTTTATTCAAAAAAAATTTAAACCTAGTGTTTTTGCATTAGATAGAACACATTTAGGGGGTGAGAGCAGATTATTTTCAAAAATGTTGTTTTTTGGGACACCCTAATATATATATATATATATATATATATATATATATATATATATATATATATATATATATATATATATATATATATATATATATATATATATATATATATATATATATACATTTTATTTTATTTTTTTTTTTTTTTAACATCTTCACTTCCAACAAGGCTGCAAGCAACCACTATAAGAGTTGGAAGTTACTGGAAGAGAAAAGACTAAATCTGTAGAGCAAGATAACGATTGACTGATGACTTAAAATATTGCAAATTATATGAATCAGGAAAGCAAGATGAAGGAAGCGAATTCCAAAGAACTGATGTTCGAGGAAAAAAACTAGAAGAATAAGAGTTTTAAAGCACTTAGGAACAGTCACAGAAAAAGGATGAGACTTAATTGAATGGCGAGTAACACGAGAATGAATTTTAGTAGATGGCACAAGGGACGATAGCTCTTTAGAGCAGTGCCCATTATAGTATTTGTAGAAAAGAGAAAGAGAAGCAACATTACGACGATTTGACAAAGGTTGGAGATTGGCTGCCAGAGCAGGTCCAACTATGTTTACAATTCGTTTTTGCACCTTGTCTAAAAGAGAAAGAGCATCATTAGAAGATCCGCCCCAGATGTGGCAACAGTATTCCATACAGGGACGGATTTGAGACTTATAGAGATAGAGAATAGAATCTGGAGTAAGAAAGTGTCGAGCTCGATAAAGAGATGCAACCTTAGCGGATGCTAATTTTGCAATGGATTTGATATACGGTTTAAAAGAAAGGTCAGAAGTAAGAATTAATCCTAGAAGATGAATGGTAGATGACTCATCTAGTACATTACCATTCATAAATATAGAAAGATCTAAATTATTACGATAACGATTGGCCGAATAAAATTGAGTTTTATCTGAATTAAAGTTCACCAGCCACTGTGAGCCCCATGCTGTAGCAGAAGTGAGATCCTTTTCAAGCTCAGATACCCCCTCCAAGCAATCAGAGAGTGTAGGCTTCTTATCATGACAAGAGTAAATGGTAGTGTCGTCAGCGAATAAATTTCAACTATCAAGCACTGAGCTATGTTATGAAATCTTAGTTGGCCAAACTCATGTTTTGCGGAAAATATGCGAAAATTAGAAAAGTGGTTCTAAATTATTAAAAATATTTTGGCAATATTTATTTTTATACCAATTAATGTAAATAATTATTTAACAAGGAAAGATAGATCTTTTATATTTTTTTAAATGCAAGATGAAAGCATTTATATAAAAAAGTTACTATTAATTTAAAGTTTGTGAATTTTTATACTTTTTATGCGGAAATACTTTTTTTTTTGATAAACTCATGACGTCACGCTCGTTTTTATATTGAGTGAAACAGCCGTGCTTAGCGACGTCAATAGGACGTCTAAATATTGAAGTCTTGATATCGTCTTTATATTAACGTCACAAGGACGTCCTAACAAAGACGTCTTTACCAGACGTCTTTAGGACATCCTAATTTGGTCTGAGACGTCGCGACCTAGTTAAGACGTCCGTAAGACGTTTGATTCACGTCTGTGCCCGCTGGGTAGTGGTAGATAAACTTAATGGAATGATACAGCAAGGGTTGCTTCAAAGGGTTCCTCCTGGTGGAAGCAGATGGGCTTCACCGCTTGTGGTTGTTAGAAAAACAGACGGAGATTTACGCATTTGTGCAGATTACAAAATAGGTGTTAACCAAAAAATATGCTCAGACTCATATCCCATCCCAAACATTGAGACCGTATTTCATAAAATGGCAGGGATGAAATATTTTGCTAAAATTGATCTCAAGGGAGCTTATCATCAAATTGAGATGGACAAAGAGGCACAAGAAATAACAACAGTTAATACCCCTATTGGATTATTAAATTGGACCTGTTTACCTTTCGGAATAAAGACTGCAAGTGCGATATTTCAAAGAGCGATAGAATCTGTTGTTGGCGATATTATTCCCAATTTGATTATATTTCAAGACGATATATGTGTCGGTGCTAAAAATGCTGAAGAACTCAAATCAAAGTTAAATAAAATATTGAGAAAATTGAAGGAATCGAGAATGAGCATAAATAAACGAAAGTCAGTGAATGAAACAAAAAGTCTTTCATTTTTAGGATATGAACTGTCAGAAAAAGGAGTTACCCTAGATCGTAATTTAGTCAGCAAAATACTTGGAATAAGTCCTCCTTATAATAAAAAGGAACTCGAGTCATTTATAGGATTAATAAACTTTAATGGTCAACACATTGATAAATATGCTGAAAAAATCTTACCTTTAAACAATTTAAGAAAGAAAGGAGTTACATTCGAATGGAGGAAAGAGCATCAACAGGCATTTGAATTGCTAAAAAGAAACCTTTGTGAAGAACCCGTAGTAAAGGTTTATGATATCAACCAAGATCTAGAGTTAACAACAGATGCTAGTGAGAAAGCTATATCTGGAATACTTTCACAGAATGGCCATCCGGTATTGTATCTCTCACGAACTTTATCAGACGCTGAGACAAGATATTCTAATATTGAGAGAGAAGCTTTAGCTATTGTATGGTCTGCTCACAGAGCTAGGCATTTTCTGTTGGGTAGAAAATTCAAATTAATATCAGATCACAGGCCATTAGAATTTATATTTGATAGTAACAAAGAATTGCCCAAAGTCACATCCGGTAGAATTTTAAGATGGGCCATACAAATGATGGCATTTGACTGCGAAATAAGCTACAAGAAGGGAGAAAACATTCCTCATGCTGACGCATTATCGAGATTGTACTTTCTACCACAAGATGAAGAGAAAGACCAAGAAACATTTATACACTTAGTCGAGTCAGATATAGTGAACCTTGAGCAAATAATAAAAGAAACAAAAAATGATAGGGTATTGATGGATATCAAAACCAAAATTAGGAAGAATAATTGGAGCAGATGCTCGGTAACAGAAAGACCCTATAAATCTATTAGGAATAAACTGACTATCGAAAAAGGAATTGTGTGTAATGGTGACCTCATTGTACCTCCTAAGACAATGAGAAAGATCTTCATCAAATCGATCCATGATGATATACATTGTGGCATAATGCAAACGCGATGTAGATTAAAATTAGAAGCCTGGTGGCCTGGCTACTGTCAAGATGTTAAAGAATATGCGAAATAAAAGTGAAGAAGGAAAGGACATTACATACATGGCCAAGTGAAAATAAACCTTGGTGTAGAGTACATATGGATCATGCACATGTACAGGGTATTGGACTGTTTTTGATTTTAGTAGATTCTTTTTCTGGATGGCCGGAAGTTATTAAGGTAAATAACCGTGAAGCGACCACTGTAAAGGCAGTACTACAAAGTGTTTTTTCAAGAAATGGAGTTCCAGAGGTTTTAGTATCCGACAATGCTGCGGAATTTCATGATACCACCTTACACCAGTGGCTAAAGAAAATAGGTGGCGTACCTTTTAAGACTCCACCTTACCATCCTCAATCTAACGGAGCAGCTGAAAGAATGGTAGAGACAGTTAAGATGGGTTTAAGAGCTTATTCACCGGACAAAGGTTTATTATGTGGATATTTAAGCAGAATGCTTTTAAGTTACAGAACAATACCTCATGCAGGAAGATCAAGGAGTCCTTCCAAGATGATGGGAAGGCAGTTGAGATCCCCTCTCACCATGAGCTTCGAAAGTGGAACACCTTTATGGTACCGCCAAAGACCAGATTCCAAACCTGAACATGCTTCATTCATCTCTCAGGCAGGTTTAAACACTGCGATCATATTAAGGAATAACTCTTCGGGTATGTTAGCACACTGTGACTAAATAAACAAACGCCTAAATGAGCCAAGTATACTTATGAATAATAAAGACAGTATGCGGTATGATCATATCAATAATGAAAAAATCGATCCATGCAATAGTGATAAATCTGGTATGTCCGAACTACGTGTTACTAAAGAAGAACCTAACCAGAATCGAAGAACTACACGGTCGACAAGGGGGCAAAAGCCAATACGTTTCAGGGATGTGAAGCCGTGAACCTTAGTCATATGCGGACAAATAGGAGCAATGTTTTTATACATATAAACATACGTGGCTATATTAAAAATGTATATTAAAGATGGCTTACTTATAAGAATATATATATATTTAAGTATAGTACAGTGTTTTATTAACGACACAACATAAGCAACAACCAAAAGAAGGTCAAAGTATAAAGATAGTAATCATAATAATAAAGAAATTTTTTTTTTTTAATTTGTACAGTTTGAAATTCTTAAAATTTATTTAAAAAAAATAAACAAATCACTCAATGTTACAAATAAAAGTTTTAGCCAAAATACAAATTAAAACTTTAAAAATAATTTGTTAGCGTATTCATTTATTTACTAATGCAAAAAAGGCATTTATTTATTGATTTAGATCAGTAATATGGTTCCAACATTAATTTTTACAAAAATAAACTAAAAATAACAGTTGCTATATAAAAAAGATTATGTAGCTAAGAACCGCAGCCATTTTAAAATCTCTGAAATTTCTATTAACTTTTGGCACATGCGCACCTAAACTTAACGCTCGTAAACGACACATATCTCAGCTTCTATGACTCATTTTTGAATGAAATTTTTAAGGTTTGTTTATCTGAATATAAGTTAGTATGTGAACAGAATCAAATTAATTCTTAAAGTATTTTAGGAATTATGGGACAGTTTTTTTTAAACTTTACTTTTTTTGCAAATCTATAAAAACCCCACATGCAAAGTGTGGTGTTTATAGATTATTGCTTATTATCTAGAGCTCTTCTAATCTTCTTAGTAATTTCAATATGTGTAGAATGTTTGCTTCGAAATCCATATTGATGTTGTTACAAGCATTTAAATTTTTTTTAGAAACTTGTATAGCCTGTTATACAAAAACTTCTCAAAAAGTTTGCTGAGGTTGGAAAGAAGGGAAATGGGTTGATAGTTAGAAAAGTCTAAAACGGAGCCTGCTTGATAAATTGGAATGACTACTTTAAAAGCTACTTTAAAAACTACTTTAAAAACTTCATGGAATTCGCCATTTTTAAAAGAATTATTTATCATAACGCTAAGAGGTTTGGAGATTATGTGAGATGTAAGTTTAAGAAAAAATGTAGGTATGCTGTTAGGTTCATAACTTTTATCACTTTTAAGAGTATTTTTAATAAAACTAAGTACCTCATCTTCACTAACAGGATCAATAAAGGAAGAATTAGCATTAGAAAAATTAAGAAAGTCACTATAAGTATGTTTTGATGGCATAATTTTATTGAGCAGTTTTTTTACCAATAGAGACAAAGTAGTTATTAAATATATTTGAAACAGTGAGATGGTCTGTGATGATATTTTCATTCAGATTTAGCTAAGTAGGTATTTTATGTAATAATCCTTTAATATTTAGGATATCTTTTATGCCTTTCTATGTACTTTTTATCTTGTTTATGTTGTTATTAAAATAAGTTATGTAGTATGATTTTTTACTACTTTTTAATAAGTTGCTAATTTTATTTCTATAGAATTTAAATTTTGCGAGAAGCTCATTTTTAGTATTAATGTTTTTACATCTTTCAAATTTTTTATAGAGTTTATTTTTACAGAAATAGATTTAGAGATCCAGGGTTTAGATTTAAGTTTGATTTGATTTTTAGTCAAAGTTTTTTAGGAGGCACATTGGTCTAAAACCCTATTAAACGATTTTAATAATTAAATGATGGATTCATTGATACGGTCATCTTTTTTAATCATTAGCTCCCAATTGATTTTATAAATTGCTTGAATAAACTTGTTAGAGTCAAATTTTCGTAGACATCGTCTAGAAATTTTAATTTTATTTGGTTGGCTGGATGTTTCAGGAACACAGACAAATTGTGCAGTGTGACCCGAGATAGAAATAGTAAGGTTATCTGAGAGTTGATCGGAAGAGTAGAAGTTCATAAAGATGTTATTAATAAGTGTTTGAGATTTAGTTGTTATACGATTAGGTAAGATTATGGAAGTATTAAACGAGTAAAAACATAAGGTGTTATGGCAGTTGGAAATAGGATTAGATTCACTATAGCTCAGTAGATCTGCATTGAAATCACCCATTAAAAAGATCAATTTTTTTTCTTTGCTTAACTTTACAAGAAGTGGAGTTAAAAATATTGTATTGAATTCATTTTGATTCATTGATGGATGAAAATGTTTACAACCAATTAGGACATTTGTTTTGTAAGGCTTAATGATTTCGACAAAGACAGACTCAAAAACAGAAAAAAAAAGTAATTTTGGTAAGTAAATCTTTAAGTCACGACGAACTACATAATTTAAATTAGATTGCAGATATAAAAGCACCACCTTTTTTAGCCTCAATTGGGCAATGCTCAATATTGAATCCATTAATAGTTATGTCTGTTATATTGGTATTATTAAGGTATGAGTTGGATTCAGTAATCTCTATTACCATAGATATGCTGTGATAGATAGTGCTGATAAGACTGCACAGGTCATCAATGTGATAGAGAAGTGATGTAATGTTAAAGCATTGAGAGATGGTATTAAGTTCTTTAAGTATTTTTCTTAAATAAATTGGAGATACAAGAAAATATAATGATACAGTATGTGGATTTTCGCATGGTAATGTAGATAAGAGCTCATTATAAGTAAGGAGGCCAAATGGCATGTTTTTAGATATACAGTTGAAACAATACCATTCTGAAGAGTCTTCAGAGAGAAGATTATAAGTGAGCAAACTTATTCGGTTGCACTTAGCATGAACCCATGAACTTCAGCAGTCACAAAAGATAGCTTTGTGGGTATCTGTTACAGTTTCAAAACAAACAACACAGAGTGTTTTGTTTTTCATAACTTGATAGGCAGAATGTTATTATAATGTAAAAAATAAACATAAGTTGTACAAAAATGTATAAAACAAACATAAAATGTATAAAAATAAAAAAAAATCAAATGTATTAAATAAACGATGCTCATTTTTGTACTTTTACAATTTAATTTGTATAAATTTTTTTTAAATATAATTAACAAATGTTGATTGCGCCATATTTGTTTTATAAAATCATAACAATTACTGCAGTATCAGCGTTATTCCAATATTTACTTAACTCTTAGAATACCTTATCTTACTCGGAGATAAAAGAAACTCATCAACTATAATTTTGTTTTAATAATAAGAGATCAACCCTCCATGCTGAATTTTTTGTAAGCGAAACAATTAAGCATTATAATCGCAACAATTCGCCTGTTTTTTTATGTTCACTAGATGCTGAAAAGGCTTTGGACAGCTGCAACTGGGATGTTCTTTTTAATAAACTTTATTTTGATAAAAATCTACCTCTTCAAATGGTTAACACTATATCTTCTTTATACCGGGGCGGCAGTGGAACTGTCTCATACCTGGGTTGCAAATCAGTCTCACTTGATCATAAGCAAGGAGTGAGACAAGGATCGACTCTCTCACCCTACCTTTATAACATTTACACTGAGAAGCTACTCGAAACTATAAAAAATGATGAAATTTATGGTACTACTATATATGGAAACTTGACTTGTGTTGTAGCTCATGCTGACATCATTCTTCTCAGCTCTACTCTCTCGGGCCTGAAAAAACTTATTTCAACGTGTAACATATACAACAATTTAAACGAGATAAAATTAATGCTTTAAAAACGGAACTTTTGCTCGCTGGAAAAAGACAAATAATGAACTGCACAATAACTCTAGATAACCATCAAATTATACTTCGTAAGAAACTTAATCATCTCGGCTTTACCTGGGATACAAAAAAATTAATTTTGGCTTCACTAACTAGAATGAATATTGATAGTAGGGTAGCAAAGGTAACAAACTCTTATTCAATCTGGAATCCGGTTTGCACATCCAAATTCTTTTATTCAATTATATAAATCATTAGCAGTACCGACGTTAACTCACGGTCTAGAGCTCTGTGAAAATAAAGATGCAACAATGAAGACTCGACACATTGAGAAGGAACGCAGTTAAATCAATTTTTAATGTCTCTAAGTAAAAACTATATACACTATTTAAAATGAAGGAGATGTCAAATTATATACACCAAAACAAAATTAATCTATTTATCCGCCTTTTAGACAATAAAGTAACCTTTGAAATCATTTACTCCTAACTTAACTACTGGTTCAGCTAAATTTTCTAATTTAGATGATATAAAAGAATTATGTGATAATCATAAACTGAATATGAGAACCCTAATGCTGGTTAAAAAAAACCCGACATTAAGTTGAGTAATGCCGTAAAGTGTCCCATTAACTGTACTGATTACCCTATGCACTTTTATACGCGATAACTTAATATAGTTGATAACTAAATATAAGTTAAAACTCACCGAAAACTTTTAAAAATGTATGGTTATAGCCGGACCAAAAGTACAAATCTAAATCTCTCGTAAAAAAGAACATTAAATATTACAAGTATAATTTATTATTTTAAGACACCATAAACAAACAACAGATTGATCATTAAGGATATTCTTTAAAAAACTGTTACAACAAGCTATCTACGTGATTAGTCAGCTGAATGTGGATCATTAACACAGTTGACAAACCTTTGGCTACCTGTCATTAAGAATGCAATATATCTAATAACTGGTCGAAGATGCAAAGACACGATAAAAAAGCGTTCATATTTGCTATTTGTCACTATTAGTTTTGCGAATATCGTCGATCTTTAAAATCATACGAACAAGTTGTGTAGCAAGAGATATTTGTTGCTTTTTACCATGCAATGTTTCAATAACATGTTGTACTTTCATATCTAAAAAAAAAATTAAAAACCACGCCATAATTAGATAAACTAGCGGATTCAAATAATATAAATTTTAATTACATAACTCAAAAAAAAAAAAAAAAAAAGAAAAAAAGAAAGGAAATATACCATTTGTACCCGCCCGAACACAATCGACACCTAATCGCGGATTATTTTCTGCTATTTGGCGGACTTTAATCACTGAAACAGTTCTAATTGGATTCATCCCTGAGTTTTCAGCAAGTGCATTTGGTATGGTCTCCAAAGCGTCAGCAAATGCATGCATTGCATACTGTTCAACTGATGCTACCTAAAATATAAAAAATACTTAGTTTTCTACTTGGACAGTTGCTAATGTACAAATGAAAATTAAAAGAAATATTTAAGTATAATAAAAGTAGCGTAAAAAATGTAATAATAAATATACATAACGAGAACAGAAAAAAGATGTCTCCATAAACGCTGACTTGGAGTATATATATAGTGTGGTGATATAATCAACTCAATTTTTATTTTTCTGACTTATAAAATTTATAAACCCCTCAAAATGAGGGAGTGTATTTTTGTAACTTTGCATGTTCATAACTTTAGTAATTTACAATACTTTTCTACTAAATTTAAAATCTGTGGATAAATTTAAATTTAGTTTAAGATAGTAAAGTTTAAAATATATAAAATACTTAAACATTTTTAGGCATTACTTCAGTGTTTTGCATGTCAGGTATGCAAGCTTTTATTTTTCTATTTATTTTAAATCAAACTTCACTCAATTTTGGTTTTCTACTTGAACAGTTGCTAATTCTAATTGTGACTTATTCGTATATTACTTTCACAAGCACAACATTCACGAGGAAAAAAATTTATTTATCTTTATGAGACCTAAAAAGACTGTCTAATGCTAAGGTTACTTAATCTTTAATTTATCCAGGGATGCGGAGTCCCAAAAAGGACTCCAGATATGAAAGCCACAAAAAGATTACTTCTTCCTAGTTTTTGGTTTCAATGAGCTCTAAAAAAATTAAGTTTATGGTTAAAAAAAAGTTTATATTACTAATAGGAAAAAGATTATGACTTAGGCAAGAGGAACAATTTTTTGAACCCAGAGTCCTTAGGTATAGTGGCAACAAGGACTCCGGCAATAAGTTTCAAGTCATTAAATTTCAATTTTTTTTTTCAATATATATATATAATATATATATATATAAAATATATATATAAATTTATAAAATATATATAAATTTATTATTTTAATTATAAATATAAATTATAAAATATATAAATTTATTATTTTAATTATAAATATAAATTATAAAATATATATAAAATATATATATAAATTTCAATCAAAGCAATAAGTTTCAAGTCATTAAATTTCACAAATTTTTTACTTATAGCAGATCTTGAGTCGACAAACATGTTTAGAGCTTCTGGACACTACAGACTTGTAGTGATATAAAGCCAGAGTCCTTTTGAGACACTACATACCTGATTTCATCATTGAAGTTCAAGAGAATTTTGAAAAAATTTTAACTGTAATAAAATCTGCCATCAGATCTTTCACATATAGATTGATCATACGAGGAGCCATGGACACAAGCAAGATTTTTTGATGTTTCAGATAAGAAACTTTCACATATTGCGCAAACTCTAAACCCAAGTATTTTCATACCTATGCCAAATGAGGAAGCCTTGCAAAAATTTGAGATTTCAGAGGCCTGGGAATAAAAAAAGCCTTAAAATGTTTGCACCCCATGCCCAACGTGATGTAGCATGTTGGGCAGGGGGTGCAAACATGCACTGATGTAGTAAAATTTTAAACTTAACCATCTTAAACTAAATTTAAATTTATCCACAGATTTTAAATTTAGTAGAAAAATATTGTAAATTACTAAAGTTATGACCATGCAAAATTACAAAAATACACCCCCTCATTTTGAGGGGGTTGGAAGATTTGTAAGTCAGAAAAATAAAAATTTTGAGTTAATTATATTACCACACTTTCTATATATATTCACTTCAAGTCAGCGTTTATGGGGACATTATTTTTTTGTTCTCGTTATGTATATTTTTTATTACATTTTTTATACTACTTTTATCATACGTAAATATTTCTTTCAAGTTTCATTTATACATATTTAAACTTATTATTTCAGTATTGAAATATATTTTTAACATTTATTTTTGTTATTTATATTTATTTATTATATATTATTTTATTTATTTACAAAAGCGATTAACTGCATTAATATAACCATATTTAAATCTTGCAGTAACTCTAACCCAAACACTGACGCCGACCCAACTAAATCCTCAGTAGATGTGCACCACTTCCTTGCGGGTCAGGCTATTTGATAGTCAATACTTTTTGCTATTTATAAAAGTTGCTTATTGAGACATTATTTACAAAAAAAAAAAAAAAAAAAAAAAAAAAAAAAAAAAAAAAAAAAAAAAATGCCTACAGGACAAAAAATTAACAGGTATATTAAAATGTCCCATATTTTATTGTAAAATCTGTCCCTGTAAGTAATACAATTGGTGTATGAATATATCAAAGATCATCCAGGTCATTTTTTTAAAACCCTGAAAATTGTTAGGGCAAAATATGCGGAATATACTTTTATTTTAAATTTGCTTTTAACTCAGTTGCTTCAAATTCTTTTTAGAATTTTTTATAATTTATGTGTAAGTGATAAATGAAAAACTTTAAAAAACAAATATATTACACAAATATACACCTAAACTTGTATGTATGGAGAACAATGATATATTATATAAACTAGATGTCTAACTGGTGGGATTTTATTGGACAAAAAATGAAGTCGCATTTTTTGTTTATAATAATAGCCTGTCATTTGTAAAAAAGGGAAAAGCTTAAGCCAAATGTGGAATAAAAGTTAAAAATGCAAATGTGGAACTAAAGTTAAAAAAAGTCAAAAGTTCCCAATTAACTCAAAAACGAATTTTAATAATAAAATACTTATAAGAGTTTTTTTATGAGTCTATGTTTATTAAAAAGTATTTTAATTCATTAAAATGCCTCCAAAGCATCTATTGTTTTACTTTTCTATTCAAAACTTTAATCCTTTTTTAATCAAAAATAAATTAAGGAATTATAAATTATTATTTTATAGGTATTATAATTTCTGCTTAACACTTTTAAGTAATAAAGAAAAGCTAAAAATAGTTTAAAAATTTAATCCGCCAATTGTAAAAAGGGCAAAAAGCGGCTTTACTTTACAGATCAATGTTAGACATTGATTTATATAATATATCATTGATGGAAAACATTTTGAGCATCTGGAAAAACCAAAAGTTTATGAAAAATAAGCGAAATTCTGGAAAATGATTACCCCTAATATATATATATATATATATATATATATATATATATATATATATATATATATATATATATATATATATATATATATATATATATATATATATATATATATATATATATATATATATATGAAATATAATATCTATTTAAATATTAGACCCATAAAAAGTTTTGTCATAAAAATTAGAAAAATTGAGAAAAATCCATATATTTTTTAACTGTTACTCAGGATGGAAAGAATTTTTCAGAGTACTTCTGCGCTCTGAAAAATCTAGAAAGGATTGTGCAAGATCTAATTAATAATTTTTTAAAGGAAATAATGATTATTTTTTAAGAGAGCTTATTTATTTATTATTTAACTTAAGCTTCTTACCAGAACCAACTAACTAGTGATTTTGTTATTTCAGAGCTATTTCTGTATCACAGAAATAGCTCTAACGAAATCTAGCTTACACACCACAATCACAGGTCACAACTTTATTTTACCATTACTTTGATAATATTTTACTATTACTAATGCAATTATGAATGAAATCCTTAATGGACAGCACACTTTTATTTTCAATAACTTCTGGTGTATCAAAAAGTGTACATTATGCAGTTTTATTTTTAATTTTTTCTTCAGTAAAGTTCTGCTTTTTAAGTGCTTTTAATAATGCACAAATTATTAAAATATGGTAAGAACCGTGGCCATGTTGTAAATGTAAAAAAAATGAGCAGGCAAGGTATGCGACCGCATGCATCTTCTGTAAAAGCCTAATATAAATTGTAAAATCAATTTGCTTAGTCATTTAAAACTAACTCAAGTATTACTATTGTGGTTTTGATTTTTTGTTCTGTGATTTGTTTATAATATTGATCAACCTTATTACCACTATTTAGTAACTGTAGTGACAAAAATCCTAATTTTATAAAACTATATTAATTTTTTTTTAACGAAAATATTTGGTTAAATAAATGGAGTTAGATTAAAAGCACCACAAGATACAAAAATTAAATATAGACATGTTTCTGTACATTGACTAAATGTTACGATTTTTTTAGGTAGTAGCTTGTATAAGAGTGATAATTACAGTAAAAAAAAAATTTTTTTATAACAAGTAAAAGTAAGAAGTTAATCACTGATCAGAAACCAAAACTTCAGCATTTAGCATCAGTAGTCTAACATGTAATAGAACATCATTTCAGTATTAAGCTTATTGTTTTTCACATGCTATGTATCAATTGTATTAAATACTGCATATATCTAATGAGAAAAATTGACCATTCAGCGTAGTTAAGGAGAGATCTGAAGGAAAATATAGCCCTTTTGTTTTCAAAAATGTTTGTTTTATTTCATGCGCGTTTTGATTGGTTTAATTATTTTTTTTAAATCATGAAATTTGTTGTTTTATTTTGTTTACAAATATTTGACGATTTGATTATCTAAGAGTTTTAGCTTAATACTATAGGGCAGAAGTTATATAAAGAGATTATGAAAGTAAATTGCTATGAGTGAAAACTAATGTGAAAACTTTGATTTAACGTTTTTAATGTTTACGGAAAGATAAAATAAGAGGTTTTTAGTCATTTATTGAATATTTTAATGCTGTAAACAAGAAGTTTTTTTACTTTCGAATTAAAGAGACATTTTTGGAATATAAACACTTAACACAAAAAATAGTTTAAAAATTTAATTAATTTGATTCAGCTGTTTTTATGACGCAGCTCCGTCACATTTTATGTATTTTAGGGTAGTTTTGTTTTGCTTGATGTTTGGTTAAAAAAAGATTTATAAAAAAATGATAAATTATAAGTAAAGCTTAAATTTTTCTACTTTTTCTACTTGTTAAAAATATATAATAGTAATATTTGAAAATAAGCAGAAAACACCAAAAATTGAAGTTAAAATATGTAAATTTTTGTTTTTAAGAAATACAAATTGTTCAGATCTCTCCTTAACTATGCTGAGCAGTGCTAACATTAAGCACTAAATTTAAAAACCTTGTTTTATTTAAATCTTGTTGTCCTTCTTCTCCCTTTTTAACACAAACGTGTTTTAACACAAAAATGTAACTTTTTTACAAAACAAACTAATTTATCATTTGAAGAACTATAAAGTTATCTTACTACTCTTTTTATTGTATTTTAACAGTTGAAAAATGATTAATGGCTGTTTTGTCTCATTTTGTTATGACATTTTAACTATGCACATGCTCTTTTAAGTAGTGAAATAAAAAATATAAACTTTTATATAACAGGGCTAAATAAATTGGCAAATGTGCAAACATTTAGAATACAATCAACAGAATAAAGAACATTGAGTTTGCATACTTTAATTGATTTGAACACAAATGTTAACCTAAAATTTAAAAAACAAAAACGCAGCATTTTTTATTTTTAACTTTTATTTCCATATATTAAATATTAAATATCATTTTGTGTTTTCAAGTATAATAATAATGATAAAAAAAAAAAAAAAAAAAAAAAAAAAAAAAAAAAACAGCTTAAATACTGTTACTAGCCTTCACAAGCACAAGAAACTTTTTAAATTAAAGATTAATTTTATTTAAACAGATTTTTCTTTAAATTAAAGCTTATGAACTTCTTTCAAATAAATCAAATTTATTTGAAAGAGGTTCTTAAGTTTTCTTTTTTTTTATTGTTTTATTTGTTAAATTAAATATAAACTCATGTTTTTGCATCATTTAAACAGTAAAACAATGAAATAACAATTTCTTCTTGTTAAAACATATTTAATGTTTCTTCGTTGCTAACGCTAATAGAACTTTTTTTTCAGCAAACGTTTTCACAAACTTACAATTTTTTTTTCTCATATAAATTTATAATTTTAATTAAGTTATAATTCTAATAACAAAAGCTTTTTAAATTTAGTTAAATTTTGGCCTAAAACATTTCTAATGCTCTAATTTACCGAATAACTTAGGTTAATATTTAGAAAAAACGAACTTTTTAAAATGTTTTACTTTGACTGCCAAAACGCAATTAAAAACATGTGAATAGTGATTATTTTGTTTTTAATGATAAGCAAACTATTGCATTTAAAACAATGTTTTTAGAAATATTTTTTTTTCAAAATTAAATAAGAAACTTTTATTATTATACATATGGTTTTTAGCAAAGCTTTTACAAAATTAAATTAACAACGTTTCTCATAATTAATTTGTATTTATTACACAATTCAACATTATTTTTCAATTCAATATTAATAAACTTGTATAAAAAATAAAATTTTATTTAATTTCGTTTAATGTTTCATTTATAAATCACCATTTATTGTTCGTAGAAATTTGCGCTCTAATTTCAACTGAATGATGTAAGTTAACATAATAAAAATGAGTTTTTTAATTGAAGTACAACTATCATTTTACCTCAGTTGAAAAAATGCAATTAAAGATATGTGAACAGAGATTATTTTGTTTTTAACAGTAATCAAACTTTTTTTGTTTAATTAAACAAGAATCTTTAACAAAAAATTTTTATAACAAAAATTTAATGAAAATCAAGTAAACAATTACTAGTTTTCTCACTCCCAAATTTTTAGGACGAAAATTTTTTTTTACTCTTGTGAATAAATTACAGAGCGTTTTATATCACGCCCGCAATATATAAATATTCCATTAAAGAACATGTTTCACGTGACAAGAGCGATCACTCTTGCTTTATCTTAAGGCCTGATTTGTCAAAATTAAACAAAATTTTTTCAAACCCTGGACATGATAGTAATGAATACATATTGATATATAATTTTGTATGCAGATATTTTGTAGATATGTCTCAACATAATCAGCCCTTCTTGTTATTTCAAACAAACACAAGGGATCGTATAGAAGAATTTTTATTGCATAAAATCGAACAAGATTTACACCAAAAAAAAAAAGAATTTAGTGCCATCTTTATGATATGCAGAAGGTAAATCATTGCAGCTTCATGATATATTTTCTTTTATAATTAAAAAAACATTAGTTTTTCATTTTAATTTAATTATTTTAGAATTTTATGTAATAAGTTTGTTTTTATTTAAACATAAGAAAATGTTATTAATAAAAATTAAGTTTTAAAATGTCAATGGGAGCCTAAAAATGTTTGCAATAACTTACAAAAGAAGACTGCAGACATTTGCAAATAAAGAGACTGACATTAATGACAAAATAATAAAAAAAATAAACAATATATTTTTGAGCACTAGACAGGTAAATAAAAATAAATACATATTGATATATAATTTTATGCAGAGATATTTTGTATTTATAACTTAGAAATGTCTCAACATAATCAGCCCTTCTTGCCATTTTAGATAAACACAAGGGATCGTATAGAAGAATTTTTATTGCATAAAATCAAACAAGATTTACACCAAAAGAAAGAATTTAGTGCCATCTTTATGATATGCGGAAGATAAATCATTGCAGCTTTAAGTAAATAGCAAGCAAAGGAGATTTAAACAAGAAATTTTAACTAGAAAACAATTAACATCTTAGAATATTATTTATTTATCAACATTTTTCCATTAAATAAAATGCAAATATATTTTCTTTAATATTTACTGATCAGTAATAAAAATGTCAACATTTCATATCAGTAGTCTAACATGTGATAAAACATCATTTCAGTAAAAAAAAAATTTTTTAAGATATAACCCTAACCCTGATCTATGAAGTAAATTAAAATGTTGTTCATTAATATATTTTTTTAATTTATATATTGAAGTTTTACATATTTACTTTATATATTAAAGTTTTACATATTAAATTTATATATTAAACGTTTACTTTTTAAATTATCAGAATTGTAATTTTTGTGAACGAAATGAGAATGAATTAACTAAATTTTTTAGCGATCTTTACGAATACCAGGAAAAACTATTTTTATAGTTTGAGTTGAAGCTCCCATTCTCAATTTGAATGAGAACTAAGTCTTTTTAATCTTTTTATAAAGGTTTTTATTTTTGACTTGAAAGAAATGTATGCAAACGCATTTCCAAAAAGTTTTAGTATATGATGCCATTGTGGAACTTAAAAAATTAGTAACAGTTTAAAAATTTAAGGAACATTTTTTTAACTAGAAATTATTTTTAATAAAAATTTAAATAGACATACCTTATCAGCTTCTTTACTAACAGCCAAAGCACAAGAAATTTCTGAAGCTCCTCCACCATAAACAATTCTGTTGTCTCTAACAAGATTGCGAATGACACATAATGCATCATGAATACTTCTTTTTGCTTCTTCTACTATCTGAATTTAAAAAAGCACTATATTTAATTTTAAGACTAATTTTTTTAAACGATTTTTGTAATACAAATATAATAATTCAAAAAAGCTAACCATTTTATTTCCTCCTCTAATAAAAATAGTAACAGCTCTTGTATTTTTACACTCCTCAATAATCAACATTCGATCTTTAGTTGTTCCAAATGATAATTCTCGAACAAGACCAGCAACTCCAAGCTTTTCAGGCAAAAGTTCACTAAAACGAGGTACAATACGACCACCAGTAGCAATTGCAATAAGCTATAATTAGAAGGATATATATTTTGCATATAAAGAAATATATATAAAAGAACAAACACACACATACAAAAAATGTTTACTTCAATTTCAGGGCCACCAACCCATCTTACAGCAGGCAACTCATTTTGCAATAAAAGATGGTTTGCCTCATCATCAAAACCCCATTGGCATATAGCTAAATTAGCACCAGTAGCTTTTACTTCCTTAATCATTTTCTCAAATGTATCTTTCTCATATTGTCGTAACTTTTGATACTCATCAACAGAGGAGACATCTAATTTATGCTTAGTCTTAGGTTTAGGTGGTTCAAAAGCACATGTTAGAATTGCAATCTTGGCATCTTTAATTTCCTAAACAACTAAAAAACCTTGAAAAATGTTTTGATATAACATAATAAAATTTTCTTAGGATTTTCTTGTTTGAAATTTTTTCATTTAAAATATAAATGTATACTAACCTTTGGCATTTGAGGGTGACTCATATCTTTATCAACAATTACTCCTTTAACAAGCATAGTATCATCTATTTGTCCACCTTCTTTAGTTTGCATCTTTATAAGTTCAAAATCAACATCTTTTCTCTCAAGATCAGCCACAGATAGTACAGCATCAACAGCTATTTCTGCTAAGTGCCTATGGCATCGGCTAACTCTATAGAGTGAAAAAAATATATATCAAGCAATATTTATATAAAAAATGAAAAAAATCTAAAAAAAGAACTTTTAATATATACAGATTCTCTATTATTTATATTTATTTGTATATTTACTTATTTAACTCGTTATATATTAACTTATTTAAATTGTAGCATAAATATTTAAAAAATGAATTTTCAAACTTAATAAAAATCAACAACAGCACCAGCGCTCGAAATAACGGCCGATCAACGATCAATGATCATCGACTTTTGGAAAAAATGAAATTTTGAACTCCCAAAATTAATTATGGCTGATCAAATTTGATCGTCTACATTGCATGTCACACATTAGAATAAAAAATTTTTTAACATTTAAAAAAGAATCTTAAATTTATTAAATTAGCATTAAAAAAAATATGTTCATTATTGCTGAATTAAACAAGTTTTTAGACCAATAATAATCTTTTAGTTCACATTAAAAATGGTAATTAAAAAGAAGCGCGAAGTTTATTGTAAATAACTTAATAATGCTTTTGATTGGTGGAATAAACATAGCGTTGATTTCGTAACAGTCTTCAGTTCGAAAGTTTACTAACTGTAAAAGAATTATTTTAATAAAGCGAATTCATTTGAATAAAATGAATTAATAACTAGAAAGGTTAACATTTCTTTGATTGTCTGAAAAATAATGAACAAAGCAAGTTTGTGATTCATTGGAAAACTTCATTTTGAAATCATCGTGACAATTTAAATTGAAAGAAACAGTTTTTGTTTTAAAGTTTTAGAAATTAAATGGTAAGTTTAAAAATAATCTTAAAATGGAAGCATACAAAAAGCGTCAAACATTTATTTCTTTTAAAAGAAACTTAGTATCTGGAACACCCGCTGAGAAAAAACTAAAAACTTATGACAGAAAGCTACAATTACAAACAGCTAATAAATGGAAAGTCTCTACGCTTGCAAAATATAATGCTAATGATTGGCTTGAAATTGAAAGCGTTGACGGAATAGTTACACCGCTAAAATGCAAAGTATGCCGAGAATATGCATCACAAATTCAGATTTTAAAAGGCTACACTCCGGAATGGAGCTGTGGAAAAGGATGTAGTCGATTGCAACATAGTTCTGCAATCACGCATGCAGAGGGAATGTCTCACCAGAAGGCTTTTGAGATTTTTATGAAAACGAGAGGCATGAATTTGTGCGATCGAATTGAAAAACTAAACGAGTTGCAGCAGGAAATGCGGCAAACGGACATTTTATCCGGTATTCAAACCATGAATAGTAAAGACTTGGATTTGACAAAAAAAAAATTTGAGGTCGCTTACTTTATAGCAAAAGAAGAACTATCGCTTTGCCTATACCCAAAAATAATTCAATTAGAAGAGAAACATGGTGTAGTTTTTGGTCAGGCTTATAAAAACGAAAACACATGGGGAGTATTTATTGACTACATTGCTCTTAGTTTAGCGATAGATCTCAAAAATAAACTAAATACTCGAAATTTTTTCACTATTTTAATTGACGGTTCTAACGACGTTTCAATTAAGGAAAAAGAAGCTATATTTGCCGTTACTTTTAATCCGGCTCCAACTGGAAAATCTGAATTAAACGTTGAATGTGATTTTCTTTCACTTTTGGATGTTCAGTATGGAACTTCGCACGGAGTTTTCAACACCATAAAAAAGTCACTCAAGAATATAGAAGTCGTAAATTGCAATAAAAAACTAGTTGGATTTGGTGCGGATGGCGCATCCGTTAACAGAGGGAGCAAGTCGGGCGTTAAAATGTTGCTCAAGGCTGAAGTCCCCTGGATCACATTTGGCTGGTGTGTAGCACATTGTCTCGAGTTATCATTAAAAGAAAAAGTAGGAAAAACAGCCTCATTCAATGACGTTGATTACATGATTTTAAAAATGCATTACATTTACAAAAAATCCCTCAAAAAGTTAAGACAGTTGGGTGAACTCGTTTCTATTTTAGAAGATGATGAATTTAACATTGGTGGTTACCGACCTAAGAAAGCCTCAGGTATTTTCTTTTTTTTGCTTGATTTATTTATCTTATATTTATTACCATTACAGTTATGCGTGACGTATATATTTTCAGTTTTTGCAAGTATAAAGTAAATTATAAATTGTATAATCTTGTTTCATTTTTAGGTACACGATGGATTTCACATAAAGTTCAGGCTTTAGAAATGATTTTAGATAAATACGGTGTTTATTTAATACATCTGGAAAATATGACTGAAGATATAACATTTACCAATGCTGAAAGAGCTAAGTTTAAAGGATACCACAAAAAGTGGATTCATGCTAGAATGCCCCTTTATATCGCGTTGTTTATTGAGATTTTAGCACCAGCAAAGATGTTGTCAAAATGTTTTCAAAGTGATGAGATAGATGTGTTGGCTTTATCAGGGTTTGTTCAACAAACTAAAAGCCATTTAAATCGTATTCAAAAAACAAGGTTTATTAATTTGCCAACAGTAAAACGTTTTCTCGCCAAAGTGACTGAAAAAGAAGGAAAGTTTTATTTTTTTTTTTTTTTTTACATCTTTACTTCCAACAAGGCTGCAAGCAACCACTATAAGAGTTGGAAGTTACTGGAAGAGAAAAGACTAAATCTGTAGAGCAAGATAACGATTGACTGATGACTTAAAAGATTGCAAATTATATGAATCAGGAAAGCAAGATGAAGGAAGCGAATTCCAAAGAACTGATGTTCAAGGAAAAAAACTAGAAGAATAAGAGTTTTTGAAGCACTTAGGAACAGTCACAGAAAAAGGATGAGACTTAATTGAATGGCGAGTAACACGAGAATGAATTTTAGTAAATGGCACAAGGGACGCTAGCTCTTTAGAGCAGTGCCCATTATAGTATTTGTAGAAAAGAGAAAGAGAAGCAACATTACGACGATGTGACAAAGGTTGGAGGCTGCCAGAGCAGGTCCAACTATGTTTACAATTCGTTTTTGCACCTTGTCTAAAAGAGAAAGAGCATCATTAGAAGATCCGCCCCAGATGTGGCAACAGTATTCCATACAGGGACGGATTTGAGATTTATAGAGATAGAGAATAGAATCTGGAGTAAGAAAGTGTCGAGCTCGATAAAGAGATGCAACCTTAGCAGATGCTAATTTTGCAATGGATTTGATATACGGTTTAAAAGAAAGATCAGAAGTAAGAGTTAATCCTAGAAGATGAATGGTTGATGACTCATCTAGTACATTACCATTCATAAATATAGGAAGATCTAAATTATTACGATAACGATTGGCCGAATAAAATTGAGTTTTATCTGAATTAAAGTTCACCAGCCACTGTGAGCCCCATGCTGTAGCAGAAGTGAGATCCTTTTCAAGCTCAGATACCCCCTCCATGCAATCAGAGAGTGTAGGCTTCTTATCATGACAAGAGTAAATGGTAGTGTCGTCAGCGAATAATGCCACCTTAGATGTGAGAATATCTGGAAGATCGTTAATGTAAATTAAAAAGAGTATAGGGCCAAGGATTGAACCTTGAGGAACCCCTGAAGTTACAGGATGTGAAGAAGAGTGTTGTCCATCGAGGACAACTTTTATACTACGATTGGAAAGAAAGGACTCAATAATCTTAAAGACGTTACCAGCTACACCATAAGAAGAAAGCTTATGGAGAAGACCAGCATGCCAAACTTTATCAAAAGCTTTAGAAATGTCAAGTGCGATAGCCTTAACCTCTCCACCTCTATCTAATGCACGGTAAAACCTATCGGTTATTACTGTTAGCACATCAGCTGTAGAACGAGAAGACCGAAATCCATATTGATGATCAGAAAGTAAGTTATTTGATTCAAGATGAGAGATTAAGTGTTTGTTGATTAAAGATTCAAAAACCTTGCTTATGACAGGAAGAAGACTAATGGGACGGTAGTTAGATGAATCAGATCGCTCTCCGGAATTTTTGAAAATAGGGATAACAGATGCTGCTTTCCAGCATGATGGAAAACAAGACTCTGATAAGCACTTGTTAAATAGTTTAGAAAGTATGGATGAAAGCTCCGGAGAACACCTCTGCAAGACTACAACAGGAATGTTGTCAGGACCACAAGAGTCTAAGCAGGAAATTACTTTAGATACAGAAGCTGAAGTGATGCGAATGTCAAGCAATGGATCAACCTGTTTGACGGCTATGTCAGGTAAAACGCATCAAGAAGTGGAATCAAGAGATGATATTGATGAAAAGTTCTTAGCAAACAATTCAGCTTTGTCTTTAGGTGAGATGACAAAGTCTGAACCATACAAGAGAGAAGGAATAACAGATTTGCCCTTATTATTGATACTGTTAAAGATTCTCCAGAAGTCTCGAGAGCCTAATTTTTGTGATGAGATACGAGATTTAATGACCTGGGAATAGCGAGCTTTGGCGTCAGACAAAACCTTTTTACAATGGTTTCTGGCGATAGTGAACAGATGTCTGTTTTCTGGAGAATTGTTTTGCTGATAGATATGGAAGTAACGGTTTCGATTAGAAATTGCTGCAGCGCAATGCGAGGAAAACCAAGGAGAAGAGTGAGGCTTGACCTGGAATCGTCGAGAGGGAATAAAAGATTCCATGCCAGCCTGAATCCACGAAGTTATGTAAGAAGCACATTTGTCAGCAGGAAGACTAAAGATTTCTACCCAAGGGCCATCACGAAGAAAATCACGGAAAGAGTCCCAGTCAGCTTTAAGGTAGTTGTATGTGGTACGATGATAGGGGGATTCTGATGAAGTAGAAGAATTTGATAATAGTTTTAGAGAGATCAAACCGTGATCAGAAGTACCTAAGGGTGAATGTGGAGAAATTGAGCACTGACTAGGATCCAAAACAAGACATAAGTCGAGTAGAGAAGGTAAATGATTAGGGTTGTCTGGAAAACGAAAGTTGACTATTTGAGTTAGAGATTGAGAAAGGCAAAAGTTGAGGGCCTTAACGCCAGCAGAGTCACTGACACTAGAGCCAAGCCAATCGGTGTGATGGGCATTAAAGTCACCAACAACGACGATATTGGCAGATGGATAAAGAGAGAGGGCTTGGTCAATTTGATCAGAAATAACATCAAGAATAGTGCAATCTTGGGATGAAGGAGAGCGATATAGAACAAAGAGAAAGGCGATAGAGTGAAGTTGTGCTAAACGAAAGCACATAAATGAATAGTCTGGAGATTCAAACCTAGTTTCACGACAAATGGGTGAGTTCTTACGAATGTAGATGTCCAGGCCAAGCATGTGATTATTGGAGTCTTTACGAATTAAAGGAAGATAACCATTAACACTGAGATCACAAGATGGGACAGCCTAACTCAAATTAGTCTCACAAAGAGCAAGTAGGTCTGGTGAACTTTGCAAGAGATAAGACTCAACAGAAGAAAAGTTACTTCGAAGACCACGAATATTAGTAAATGATAGGTTTAGAGAACTTGGTGATGACGATGGTTTTTTGTGTTTTTTAGTTTTAGGTACTTTAGTCATTTTAAATTGATAAAGAACTTGACTTAAGTATAGATAGTACTCAGTACACTATTTAACAACTAAGCAATAGCTTCATTACTATTAATAAACCCTAAGCCGTAGCAAAGGGCTCCAAATGTGGTCTCTGCAATGCACACCAAAAGTACAAACAGGGACACCATCCATGCGCAACATGGCACTGTTAGTACTCAGATATTTTTTGGCTGTTGATGGAATCAGCCTCTCTGAGAGCTACCACAGAGTTCGGGAAATTTCCAGGGTGTTGCACTTAACGACTTTGTAAATGCTAAACATTTAGTATGTAACGACTTTGTAAATGCTAAACATTTAGTCTAAATCTATTCATATCGAGTTGGTAACAAATTCAATCATAGAGCGTTTGGAAACAAGCGATACTATTACTGATATGTATGGCACAAAAGTTTTAAATACAGAAGGTTGGCTTTAAAGTATTGAAAATGAAACATTCCTGGATGAAGGAATAGAAAATCTATTTGACTTTTATGGAGCGCCGTTGCGACATGCTGGTTTTGCAGGAACTGTAAATGATGTTTTGGATGCTTGGCATAGCTTGGTAAACTACACTGTAAAATATTTAGCACCACATAATACCGGTTATTGTAAGTTATGGCATCAAATTTTTTCTAGCTCAATGAAAAATGAATGGGTTCCGGTTTTACTTATTGTCGAACTATTATTTACTTTGCCTGTTTCTAATGCGAAAGTTGAACGCCTTTTTTTACTAATGAATAGAGTAAAAACGGATACAAGAAACTCTCTGAAAGAGAAACGTTTAGAAAATTTAATTCGAGTAAGTTTCGATGAAAAAGATTCCAATTTATTTGATTTAAGTTCTGCTATCGAGTTATGGACCAATGATGCCGTGCGAAGGCCAAAACAATCAGTAAGAAAATGCTATTCCAAAAGAGCAAAAAAAGCAGGATTAAAAACATTAATCGACTTGGATTCATTATCTAACGAATCAAGTAATGAATAGCGCAAAACGAGATTATTTTTTCTCACCTTTTTTTAGTTTAAAAAAGTTTTAATAATCAAATATTGGTTAAAAAGTTCATTAACTTTTTATTGTGTCATTTTTGTTAAAAAACGATCATTATATAAAAAACAATTGTTCGAGTCACAAAAAATATTTTTACGTCACTTAAAAGGCAACGCGTTGAAGTGAAAAAGTGAATTAAGAGCTAAGTTTAAAAGTAAAAACTATAAACGATAACGTGGACGTACGCTGTTGTATTCAAAAACCAATAGCGCTCAGCTAGTGTTCTAAAAATAGATTTTTTTAGTACTAAAAGGCATTAAGGTAAAGATATTTTAGAAAATTGCACAAAATCAATAGAATTTTCTAAAAACGCAATTTATTGTAGGTTGATAGCGGTAAAACAAACAATTTGACGTCACCTAAACTGTACGCTATTAAAGAAAAAGTTAAGAAAAATTTGATTGTCTGGATAATTTTTTGATCGTCTACTTTATTACTTTTATTATTTCTGCCGATCAGTGTTGATCGGCAACCTTCAAATAATTATTTTGAGCGCTGCAGCATGAACTTAGGAGTCTCTAAAGTATTCACACATATTTAAGTAATTGATTAGCTGGGAGGCATTGGTTTTGATAACACAATAAGTTGTAGTTTGGAAGCATTGGTTTTGATAACACATTTTTGAACTCCAGATTAAAAAAAGGATTCTAAATAACTTCGAGTCTTTTCTCCTATTAATTTCTATGACAATTTAGTTTATTCAGGAAATTAGGGTTTAGGTATAAAGAGTGAATATTAATAGCATATTAAGAATAATAATTTCCTCTTTGCAACTTGTTTTTTTTTTAACTTTAGGTTACTGATTTTTGACTTGTTTATTTAACTATAGGTACCAATTGTTCACTCAACTTTAGGTTATATTTAAGCTTTCACTGAAATTTAAACTTGTCGGTTAAAATGCATTCACTTGCTAAAAACAAAAGAAAATGCAACAATTTTTTTGTAGCACAAAGATGCAACTAATAGTAAATTTATAGCTTTACATACAGTATGACTTAATAGTGTATAAAATTTTATAAATAATCGCAAACTTATAAGTAAAATATTTAAAAATAATGCACAAAATAATAATAAAACTAGTTTTATCACAAATTATAGTAAACTTATAGCTTTATTATACAACATTAACCTAAATGTGCATAAATTTTGTAAATTGTCATGAATGTTTATTTTAAAAGATGTAAAAATCTGAAAAGAACTATAAATATATACAGACTATTACTATTTATATTTACCTATCTACTTATCTAACTCTGTAGTATAAATACTTAAAAATTAACTTCTAAACATAATAAAAAACAACAAGAACTTAGGAGTCACTTTAGTAATCATACTATATTAAGTAATCAAGTAGTTGTGAGGCATTGGTTTTGATAACACAACCAGTGTGTTAACCAGCCCAATGGCACCAATTATACTGCAGAATTCCCAGTGTTGATAAAAATCCTAAAATTCAATGACTTTTTTTTTGTTGAATAGGACAAAATTAATAAAAACTCCAAATTTTTTTCAGAACAAAAATAAATATTTGCAATACTGCAAAAATGCAGTAAAAAATATATTCTTAACTAACACTCTGACCCCCAGGTTTAAAAATGATTCTAAATATTTTCCATGTTTTTTCTCCTTCAAATTTTTAACACTTTAAGTTTATTTAGGAAATTAGATTTTAGGTATAAATAACGAATTTTAATTGTATATTAATTAAGAAAAATTCCTTTGTAACTTTATATTAATGATTTAATTAAAATTTAAACTTGTCTGTTTAACTGCATACACTTGCTAATAAACACAAGAAAATGCAACAAACAATTTTTTGTAGCACAATAACACAACTTATAGTAAATTTGTAGCTTTACATACAGTATTGACCTAATTGTGCATAAAATTGAGTAAATTATTACAAATTTGTAATTAAAAATGAAATTATAATTATAATTTTTTACACATATATAAAAATTATAAAAAGGAACATTACCTACATTTTTGATCCCAGTGTTGTCATAGCAGTTTGAATAAGATGCTCTTTATTATTGGGATCAATTTCAAAGGATTCACTTATTTGTTCTAAATTGGATATTGCAATCTGAGAAGCCAACTCATAACCATCTGCAATTCTTATGGGGTGCATTCCACGATCGAGTAGTTGTTCAGCCTGCTCCAATAGGGCACCAGCAAGAACAACAACACCTGTTGTACCATCCCCTATTTCATCATCTTGAGATTTCGAAAGATCAACTAAAAGTTTGGCAATTTCATGCTCGACATGCATTCTTTCTAATATGGTGGCACCATCATTAGTAATTGTAATATCATTATCAGGAGAAACAAGAATTTTATCCATTCCTTTAAAATAAATCCACAAAAAATTATAAAAAAATTAAAAAAAAAAAACAACTTATATGAGCAGTTTATTTTGAAAGTGGACACCAAAAAACGATTCTCTCTTTATTTGTGAAATAATTTAAACTAATTGAGTGCAAAATTATATTTTAAAATGTTGAATTACTTGTAAAACTTTTGCAAATGAAGAGATACCATTACATCGTAAATATTATGTCACTTTCAAAATAAACGGCTCATATACTAACAAATAGTAAGTTACACAATATCTAGTAAAATAGTAAGTTACACTATATCTCCATTATCTTAAAATAATTATGGTCTTTAATTTTTTATTGATGAACTAGATGATAATCATATTACCCATATAATCAACTTACCCCTTAGTTTTAAGCAACATTTGGTTGATTAACAAGTGTAAATTAACTAAATGTTGTGTATTTGAAATAATAAAAACAAGCTTTGGTGCTAAATAAAAAAAATACCTTGAAAAAAACATTTCAAGTTTCATAAAGAGCTGACATTGTCAATTAATTTTTGACAATTTTAAAATTTTTGACATATTTAATGATTTTTAAATTTGAAAATATGCAATTACTCTTTTCCTTTTTTTTTAAATCTAACTAAAGTTTGCTAAAAATCGTGTAATTAAATTTTCACTATACAATATTTATTTGTAAATACATTTAAGTGTCATGTTGACATGAATTTACTTTATAAAATATTAATAAGTTATGTTTTAAGTTATTAAAACTTATCAAATGAATATTTTTCACTAAGTTATATCAGGCCTTCTCAAACAAGGTGTACAATTGCATGCCTTACATGACCACGCATATAGTTCTTTGTTTTAACAACTTGACCACGGCTCTTTACCAGTTTTGATAATCAGTGTGTTTAAAGAATGCGCTGATAAAAAAAAAAAGCAAATGTAAATGTGATTTTTAATTTAATTGATTCTATGATTACAATTAAACTGCCACAAAATTTCCTGAGTACTTTAATGCAACTTAGTAAAAGGCAACCATTGAAAAAAATATTCAGATTAGAGTTTTAGGCTAAAGTACTGAAACTATCAAGAAATAATTACAAACCGTTTTATCATGGAAATATAATTTCTAATAAAGAAATTATTTACTAAAAAAAAGAATTACAATAATTTTGAAACAATCGCCTCTGCCAACTATTTTTTATCCCAGGGCGTGACCGTTTTTTTTTAATGAACATTGACTTGCATATCTTTATTTATTGACAAACTTCTAATTTAAGAGATTCATGTCAAATAATTTTTATTCTAGTTAATAAGTTATTAAATATATCAAAGATGATTTATTATTTTTCAAAAACTTTTTTTTTTACACATTTGCAAAGTGGGCGCAAATTAATGATTAATGCACAATAAGAAAAACTTTAGAAAGTGTTTTTATTATGCAAACAAACATAATTTCACTTTATGGAAAACAAGAAAATTAAAAAAAAAAAGCATGCAAAATTTTATTTATAATGAATTCATTTGCTTTAAACTTTTAATGTAATTGCTAAAAACATAAAATAAACCATACTTAAACATTATAATTGCTTTCTTCAATAAAAGAAAGGAATCAAAATGTTTAAACACACTTTTTTGATGTTTTTGCAAAAGCATTCATTTCAAGTGAAATTATTGATGCTTTTGTGAGCGCATACAGAAACCATGCTAAAACATAATTACTTTCTTCTATAGCGTACTTAGTTATTTTACTTAAGTGAAGCTACTGAAAAAAGTAATTATTTTTTTGCATTTTTTTTTAAGTCTCTGAAATTAATTGTTTATAATTTTAAATATGTGTTTTTTATAATAAATAAAATACTATAGATGACAAAATTATTTAAAAAAAAAAAAAAAATGCTTTCGTCTTGAAAAATCTTAATTAAACAGCAACGTTTGCATAAGCAAAATTAAAGAAACATGATGCTTGTTTTTTGTCTGTCTTTTAAGAAATGCGCGCACCTTTGTCGTTTTGTCGCACCCTGTATTCTATTAACTTTTTAATAAAATTTTAATTTTGTACCACAAAATTTTATTAAATTTCATGGCACTTTTAAAGAGAATAAGTTACTTACATTTTTAAACATCAATTTCTAAAAAAACAACTAAAAAATTCAATTGAGGGGAGGGGGAAGACACCCTCATGACCCTTTCTCTCACTATGGATCGGTCCTTGTATTAGCCTATTTATTCATGGGAAGGAATGATAAAGATTATTAGAGCTGTGATATTTTTTTTACTTTCGCTTACAAATAAGTTTACATTAATTAATGTTTTGATTTTTTTTCTGGTTCTTCCTTTGATTATTTTATCATTCTTTAAATATTTTAATTTTTTAGTTTAATTTTTGTATTACACATTTTTTTAAGAATTTTATTCTCCTTTTAACTTATTAATTGTTTATTTTAATCTTAATAAGCTTTGTTTTTTTTTAAGCGCATTTTTTAAACACGCTAATTATTAAGACTTGCAAAGAGCAGTGGTCAAGTTGTTAAAACAAAGAACTTTATGCGTGGTCATATAAAGCTTGCAATCGCACGCCTTATACTTACAAGAAGGCCTGTATATATACATATATATATACATATATATACATATATATATACATATATATACATATACATATATATATACATAGAAATATACATACATATACATACATATATATACATATACATACATATATATACATATACATATATATATACATATATATATATAAAAGACAAAACAAAACAAAAACAACGACATGTATTTGCTATTTTGATTTTAAAATGCATGAAAAAAAAATTTTTGAAATCAATCTTAAAATATTTTTATAGATCATTTGAGCAAATAAAACACTGTAGCAAGTTTATTATGTAGTTTAAAAAAAAGCTTTACCAACATTTGTATTAAATGTATCACTAATAAATAGATCTTATATATACTAAAATAATTAAATGATTTCTTGTTTACCTTTTGGTCCAAGAGAAGTTCTTAATGTATTTGCAACAGTTTTTGCAGCCATAATATGAGTCTAAAAAACAATGCAAAAATTTTTTAAGTAAACAACTGAAACACAAAAATGTAGTCAGGGGCTATTCTAGAGTTTTGTTGACAGCTTTGGGTTGCCCAAATTAAAATTTGAGGATTTTTTAAACATTTTTACAGCAAATATTGTTATTTTCGGGAAAAAACTGCTGATTTTTCGCTAAAGTTCAACGGCACAAGGGGGGACTGCTGCCCAAAATTTTCCCCTAGAATAAGCCCTGGTATTATCCATTTCATAAAAAGTTTGTCCATATAATAGGTACCAGTGATTTTTTTTATAGAAAAATAAATTGCTTTGAGCCTGAGTACGTTTATTAGATAATAAAAATGTAATAGGCTATATTTTAAAGTTGCAACTCTTTTGAAATCTATTTTATTTTTATTTTTATAGAAATAACTCCTTATGAAACAGAATTATAATCAATGAATTTTAAATAATTTCTTATAAAACATAAACTAGAGTTATAATTAAAGTATTTTAAATAATTTTTTATGAAACATAAATTAGAGTTATAATTAATGAATTTTAAATAATTTCTTATGAAACCTAAATTAGATTTAGAATTAATGAATATAATTAAAGAATTTTAAATAATTCCTTATAAAACATAAACTAGAGCTATAATTAATAAATATAATTAATGAAATTTAAATAATTTCTTATGAAACATAAATTAGAGTTATAATGATAATTATTGAATTTTAAAAATGAGTGTTAGTGTAAAACATTTTTTTGCATATTTTTATATATAAAGAAATGTTAATTATAATAAAATAATTTATTTCTTGATTTTTATAATTTTTAGACATATTTAAGTCCTATAAAAATGGTTACATAAAAGATAAACTTATAATAATAAAACATTAATTAAAAAAATTGTTACAGGTTTTATTAAAACCTGTAACAATTTTTTATTACAATTTATTAAAAACCACTTTTTAAATGCAACAGTCAAATTATCCTATTGCAAAAATTAATGTAAAAACAATAAATTTACTATTGTGAAAATAATATTAATACTTATAAATTTTAATTACTGTTTTTTTAACACCAGTTAATTTGTGTCATTATTATAAGAAAAGTTATAAATAAATCACATATAACTTTAGTGTAAAAATTATACTAAAAATATTTGGGCATTAAAATGTATATTAAACATATATACATGTATAAACATATATATACATGTATAAACATATATAAATGTATATTAAACATATAGTTTTTTATTAAGAAATTTACTTAAGCAAAAAAAAAAAAAAAAAAAAAAAAAAAAAAAGATTTTTAATCTCGATGTATTTAAACTTTATGCTATATGGCGCCAAGAGAAATTGGTGAGTTGTTTTTAACAATACAGTCAAGTAACAATATTTTAGAGAACTATATTATAAATGTAGAGGAAATCTGCTCACATCCAAGGGATGTAATCATCTATGGGTTTTCTCAATTTAAGGAGGCGGAAGTTTTCAAATTAAGAGTGGAATTATTTCAAGAAATATTGGAACGTTTTGACATAGAGCAGTTCTCACTGCTAAACATTATTCTAGACGCGGAAGATCCCGTTAAAAAAAATCTGAGAAAACGGTATAAGATATTAACATGTCTTGATGATATTTATCTGATGTCGATTTCTTTAGCGGAAAATCAACTTCATAAAGACTTTATTAAATTGATTTCTAACTCCAAACAAGCTAGTCAACAAATGTATCAACCGCCAGATATAAATATGGCATTGATTTTAAAAGAAGTTATTGATCGGTTAAAAGCATTACAATTAGAAAATAAAAAAATTATGGCAGATTTGCATTTATTACAGGTAAAATACGACGAACTACAAAAAACAAATAACGAAATCGTGAAAAATCAATGTGCGTCACAATTTAACAACACAAGTAATTGTGAACCTCATAAATCGCAAGAAAATATAAAATCTATTGTTTCAAATTCAATAAAATATCATTCCCCAAATCAAAGAAATACGCTGGAAGAAGTTAATGCACACTCCAGCACAGAGATTTCAAGTTTATATACCGATAGAAAAAATAAAATTAGAGATTCCTACGCTACCGTGGTTAAAATGCAAAACCCGGAACAAAATAACCGGAAACCAGAAAAAGAAAAAGACTGTGTAACAGACTATCAAGAATTCAAAGTGGTAGGAAAAAATAATAAAGTTAATAAGAGCCATATGGATAAGCAAAAAAAAGAACCCGTTTTCGGAAACAAAGTCGCTAGCAACAGAAGCTCGATTGCGGGCAAACGTATTATTCGAGAATCATATATATTTGTAGGCGGAGTTTGTAATTCCATATCCGAAGAAGATCTATCAAACTACATGAATAAAGAAATAGGTATTACTCCTTTAGACATAAAGCTTAATAGAGAAAACATGTACAACCGCTCTTTCAAAGTAAAAATTAATAGTACTGAAAAAGGAATGGTACTTAAACCCGATGTTTGGGATAACAACATTATTGTTAAACCGTTTAGAATGCGGCGAGAAGCACTAACAATCGAAAAACCACATCAAAATACCGAAAATCATTTGCCACAATTCTTACACCACTCTTCAGCATTTATGCAACAATAAAAATTGAAATCATAATGGGAGAAAAAGAATTAAATGTAACTAACACAAATATTACGCTATGTGCATATAACTGTCAAAGCTTTAAATCGAATTCATATTATATTTCTAAGTTGTTAAAGTCTTTCGATATTATTTTTATATCAGAACATTGGCTTTTAAATATTGAGAGTTTTTTGTTAAATAACATTGCATTACTAACACACAGTTTTTTTTCATGCGGCAGAAAAAAATACACACGGTAGACCATATGGAGGAAATGCTTTTATGGTACGAAAAAAATTGTCATCTTTTTACATAATACATGAAGATGAAAACATTCTTGCTATTAAAGGCACACTTAACAATCGTAACTTAATTTTTATTGGTGTTTACCTTTCATCTTGTCGTAATAATAACGAATCATACGCAAAATACTCTTCTCAGTTACAAACAATCACTTCAATAATGAACAACTATGAGGATGAAGGAGAATGTATTATTTCCGGAGACTTTCAGTCATTTCCATATAAAATATATGATTCAGAGCTTCGTAAAAACAAAACTAGGAACAATTTCTCAAAACATCTCACTAATTTTATTGAATCAAATCAGCTCGCTTTTGTCGATATAATCAACGGTGCTGGGCCTACTTATACCTATCAACATAAAACTCTTTCTAACTCTTCTTACATTGACCATATTGCATCCTATAAACAGACAGAACTATGTTTTACAAACTGTCAAGTTATGCAATCTTCACCGCTTAACCTTAGTGATCACCTTCCGGTGTCTACGAATATTAACTTTGAAGGTACCGGCTTATCACACGAAATAAATAATATAATGCAAAAATATAATTCAATACCAAAACATGCATGGAATAACGAAAGGTTTATTGACTTTTATAATCTCAATCTATCAAAAGCATTTACTAGTTACGCATTTAAGGAAGATAAAATAGAAGAAGAAATTCAAAAAACATGCTTATATATAAAAAATGCAGCTCTCTTGGCAGTTAAACAATGTTTCGGACAAAAAGAATTTTATAAGTACTCGAAACCTTGGTGGACACCTGAGCTTAAAAAAATTAAAGATAATCTCTCCTTTCACTTTAGACAATGGCAAAAATCAGGCTATAATAAGTCAACAGAATGTATATCCTACAAAAGATTTATTTATTCCCGAAAAAACTTTCGTAAAGCTGTAAAAGCGGCACATAACAAAAAAATTCACGAAAAAACTAAAAATATAGAACACTTACGCAATACAAATCCTCAAAGGTTTTGGGGTAATATTCGAAAAATCAAAAAAAATACTAACAATCGACTCTTTACAATTAATAAATTGCAGAACAAAAACGAAATCGTCGAAGAATTTAGTCATCATTTCCAAAAACTACTTAATACACCGCAATATACAAATAACGAGTTCAATCCTCTCCAAATTCCACATTTAAGTAAAGAGCCTAATTCAAAAGTTATCTCGACAGCTGATATTGAAAAATGTATTTTAAAGCTTAAAAATAATAAATCTTACGATTGCTATGAAATCAGTGCTGAACATCTTAAAAACTCTCACAACAAGAATCTTCTTATTTTACTTTCGTCGTTTTATAACAATATGTTAACAAATGGAAAGGTTCCACACGGTTTATCAACCGCCAAAATTATCCCATTAGTCAAGTCTTATAAAACATCACTAGAAAATCCAAATAACTATCGAGGAATCAGCATTATACCAATTTTTACAAAACTTCTCGAATATCTTATCATACACATATGTCCAGATATAACAGAAAGTCATTCCCATCAATTCGGTTTTAAAGAAAACAGCTCTACCCTCCACGCAGAATTTCTTCTGAGTGAAACAATAAAGCACTATAATCATAATAACTCACCGCTATATATATGCAGTCTAGACGCCAACAAAGCTTTTGACAGTTGTAATTGGGAATTACTATTCGAGAAACTCTATTACCAGAAAAAAATCCCATTATCTATAGTTCATACAATATTATCACTATATCAAACAGGAACTTCTAATATATCATATCTTGGATGTACATCAAACAAATTTAGGCTGTCTCAGGGAGTGCGTCAAGGATCCATACTGTCGCCTCATCTCTACAATATCTACACAGAGAACCTTCTAGAGAAAATTGTTTCAGAATCAAAAGTTGGAACTTCAATAAATGGTGTATACACAGGTATCATTGCATATGCTGATGATATAGTTTTACAAAGTTCCACTATATCTGGTCTTCAGAGCCTTATTAACATTGTTCAAAAGTATGGACTATCGAACTTTATTAAACTGAATACAGAAAAAACTGAATTTCTAATATCTGGAATAAGTTCGATTTTAATTAACGTTATTTATATTAACGGTGATCCTATCAAGCCTCAAAACAATCTAAAACATCTTGGTTTCCTTTGGGATAATAAGAACAAAAAAATGACAGCAACACTCCAAAAACAAAATATAACTGAACGTGTAACGCAATTTTTATCTGTTGCAAAAGGTCTTATAAGAAATGGACTTCGCTTTTGCCAGCCTGCTACCATAGTTCATTTATTTAATTCTTTAGCTGTTCCAACGTTGTTATACGGATTAGAACTGTGTGGAAGCAGCAATAAGTTTCTAAATAGCATTGATATAGCTGGACGATCTGTCTTAAAATCCTTTTTTAATATTTCAAAGCAAAGTAGAAATTATCTACATTCTTATTTCAAAGTAGACGCTGTGTCAGACATTCTTTTTCGCAACAAGTTAAATCTATTTATCAGGCTTTTAAACAACCCCATATGTTACTCGATTATACGGACTCAGATGCCTTTAATGAATCAACGATCATTTGTGGGTGAGGTAATGATAATGTGTAAGAAAGCTGATATAAACATGCTCCAATTTATGATCGAGGGTAAGAAAATTATAATTGCACGCCCTCAGGAAGCATTGGAGGCCAATGTTGCGGCGATCTTAAAACAATCGTTCCAACACTGGAATTTAAAGGAACAAAGAGAAGTATTTAGAACGCTGATGGAGGAAAACATTCCAAGAACGATGCAAGAAAATACTTAAATGTGCTTTGTTTTTTTTTTAATACTTTTACCTATAGTTTATGTAATTATTGGGTGTTTAAAAGAATAAATAAAAAAATATATATATATACATGATTGCATATGAAACAATAAAATCCAATTTTAGTTTAAAAAATTTTGAAGAATTATTTAAAAACTTAAACATTTTAAGTTAGAAATTAATTGATAATAAAAATAAGGATAAAAAAGAAATATTTTAAAATAAGTAATGAGTTTTTTTGTTTTGTTTTAAAAGAACTTTATGTGATTTTTATGTTAAACTCCCCTTTAATTTTATATAACTATCTGCATTAGGAAGTTATCAGCATATATATTTTAGAGTTTTACTTGATTTTAAAAAAATATCGAATAATAGTCAAATATGATATAAAAGTATTTCTTGTATTTAAAATTTGATAACTTCTAAATTACTTTAAAATATTGTGATTTAGGTTTTATTTTTAATAACATCATAGTGTTTGTTTTATTTTTTCAGTTTTACCTGATGATTTTTAAAGTAAATTAAAATATTAAAGATTAAATCAAAATTATTAAACATAAAAATAATAATAAATAGCAACAATTTGGTTTAAAATGAGATTTCATATCATGATTTCAAGATCAATATAAATATCATTTAGCATGGGACAGCAATCTTATTTATCATTATTTTGTTTTTTGTATCAAAATGCTGTAGAGTAGAAAAAACTAGTATTGAGGCTGTTTCAGTTTCCTACCCCTATCATTTTTTGATTGATTTCGATAGAGAATTTCATGCTGATTAAGATTAGTATAAAAAACATTGACCTGAAAATTTGAGGAAGGTACTCTAATTTTGATGTTGAAGTTTAAAAGATTAAAAATTCTAATATCACCATCTTTTTAAAAATGTCTTTTAATCGGTTTTTATTTAGAAATAAATCAATTTAAAATTTTTTTTTTTTAAATTACGCTACCCAGTTTTTATTGTCATCATTATTGAAATTTATTTATATTTAGTTAAATATTATAATGAGTATATATGTATTTTTTTAAATAAAAAATCTTTGAGACAGCATTTTAGATGTAAATACATCGACTAACAAATGAGGATTAGCGCAATTAAAAGTTCATACATCAACTAACAAATAAGAATTGACACAATTAAATGTACATACATCAACTGAAAAATAGAGATTGGTACAATTAAATGTACATGGTTATGGTCAGGGTTTGGGTCAGAATCAGTTAGAAACTTATGGGTTTTGCTTTAATTAGTTTTTCTTTAAAGTGTTAATAAAACCAGGCTGTTTTTAAGTTAACTAAGAAAAAGAATCTAATCACCTTTCATGTATGAAGAAAATAAGGATTATTAGCATTTTTTGTGTAATTTTTAAAACTTCAACATCAAATTAGAGTGCTTTCCTCAAATTTTTAGGTCAATGTTTTTATACAATTCCTAATCAGCATGAAATTCTCTATCGAAATTAATCTAAAATGATAGGAGTAGGCAACTGAAACAGTGCCTGAGTAACAATTTGTTATTTATATATGCTATAGTAGATTTTATATAAATATATATATATATATATATATATATATATATATATATATATATATATATATGTGCATATATATATATATATGCACATATAAATATACATGTATAGAAAATATTAAAAAATAATATCGTGCTGTAGACATTCTTTTTTCTAATTTTTTAATCAATCAATCAAAATAATATTACCTTAATAACAACTGCATAAACTAATGTCTATCACAATTGTGATGGACATTTACAAAGTTAACTGATAATGCATTAAGACCTTATAAACTGATAATGCATAAAGACCTAACCAAATGATGGTATATAGAGAATCTTTATTATACTGTCCTTTTCTTAATCTTAATATCAAGATATTTAATCACGTCATGTCACATTATTTGCATAGTTAGTAGGGCAAAAAAAGGTTTTAATATTTAACAGCTCTAAGCTTGAGGTTTACTCTTTAGCAGTCATTTTCTGTTTAAGGTTACATTCATCCATTTTTGTTTTTAACAATTTTAAGGTGCCAAACCTGGTACAAAAACTAATTATTTACACAAACAAAAGATGTTTAATTGATATTTAAACAACATAAATTCCAACTTTTTGCATTAATTATCCAACTGCGCTTTATATGACTGAGTGAATGCTTTGTTTGCCTCATTCTTATTTAAATTTAATTGTAGGCCATGTAAGCAAAACAAGTAGGTCAAAATTTTCAACTGTAACTTACTTTCAACGCTTCTAAACCCGTCAACCGTTCTTGCTTCTCTTGATCTTTTAGCACAATAAATGGACGTCCATATTCATCAAAAGCTAGTTGCGCCATATTGTAATATTAGTATATGATTGTTAAGATACAACTAGATTTGACAAAGGATTCCACACATTAAGTAAGTGCTACCCGCTTTACGATTTACTTTACGAACTTCCAGAAGCTTCTTTAATTCTAGAATGATATATGGGGGTGTGTAATTATTTATAAAATTTTTTTTTAATTTAAATTTACATATTCATGTAAATATTTAACTATTTAAAGATAAAAAAATATATTAGGTAGTGATATTAATTTATGATAATTTAATACTTTACTTCTTTTTAATTTTATATATGTATAAATTTAAAAACTATGCACCCCTAACTAATAAATAACTAAAGAATTATTGTAAAAGAAATGGCTTTGCCGAGTCCAAGCGAGTTTAAACATTTTTATTATTTTATTTTATTTTGATTTTTAATTTTGCTTCAAAGAAGACCTATCGGTCTTATTATAAAACACTTTGGAGGAGCATTTACCCAGGAAGTTCACGCCTCCTTTCTTACCAATGTCGCTAATTGGGCCAAAGCCACCGTCAAATCACGAACCTTTTGGTTCTGACCCAGAATTTTAACCACTGCGCGACACCTGTACCAATCGAATATTAGAATCAAAAAAGACGTTCTTTTTTTTTTTGAAGCAGCTATCTTTTATTTGCACCATACGATAAAGAAATTTAAATAAGTGTGTACAACACGATTGATTTTGAACCCAAGTTTGAGAAGCGAATGTATCGCTCTTAATTCAAGAAGTGGGTGTTTTAAACGATAGCTAATTAGCTATCGTTTAAAACGCCCACTTTCAAAATCAATCGTATTGTACACACTTATTTCAATTTCTTTATCGCATGGTGCAAATAAAAGATAGCTGCTTCAAAAAAAAAAAGAACGTCTTTTCTTAGCTAAGAAGCAAAAGCCAATAACACAATACATTAGAAAAATATAAAAAAAAATTAATCAAAATGTTTAATAATGAGCTGCTAAAAACTTTAAATGATATAGAGGAATTTTTTTTGAAAAAATCTTGGATTTGCCTTTGTCTAGCTTATACAAAATTATGTAAAAGTTTTTCACATATTTTTTTTTTTTTTAATGCGCATTACTGCTCCCTCGAAAAAGTACAAAGTTGGGACAACAAAACATGTTCCTTTTTTTTAATCTATGAAAAGCAAAGATTGCCGCTGTACGGTGGGCAAGATTTCACTTATACTGGAAAAAACTAATATCTTGTCATATAGAAAAAATTAATGAGCATTGCACTGTTTTCCTAATTTGAGGATTGCGGTTTTATTGGGTGACATTAAATTTAATTTTGAATTGCTTTGGATACCTAAATTGTTTAGCAACCACATATTTCACTAACCATAATAAATAATACCTCGACAAAAGTAATAACTTCCAAAATATTTATCTGATTACTTCTATAATTACTAGGGGTGTATCGGGTTGGAAATTTTGAATTCTGGCCGCAACCGGATCTGCCGGAATTGTTAAAAAAATTCCGGCCGAAACGAGATTTTATTTATGTAGTTTTTTTATCTTCTAGATTAAATGTGAAAGCCTGCACCTCAGCATCGTGGCAAAATAATATATATTTATAACCTATAGTATATATATATATATATATATATATATATATATATATATATATATATATATATATATATATATATATATATATATATATATATATATATATATAATATATATATATATATATTATATATATATATATATATATATTATATATATATATATATCTATATATATATATATATATATATATATATATATATATATATATATATATATATATATTATATATATATATATATGTATATATATATATATATATATATATATATATATATATATATATATATATATATATATATATATATATATATACATACGTATATATGTATATATATTTATATATATACATATATATATATGTAAACATGTATATATATACATATTTATATATATATATATATATATATATATATATATATATATATATATATATATATATATATATATATATATATATATATATATATATATATATATATATACATATATACATATATACATTGTGGGGAATTGTTAGACGTTTCCCAGTGAAACTAATGAATTCACTTGTTTGTTCATAGGTGTTTGGTACTGTGGTTTATCCTGCTCCGGCTTATTGCCATATAGAGGCCACATTACCAAGGCCCGCAATGACAGGTTTGGCTCCCCAGAGAGCGTTTTAACCCGCTCTACGGACCAAGAGTAAAGTGAGTTTAGGAAAAACGAAGATATGTTAGATTGAAAGACAGAAGTAGTTGTGTTAGAAAGATAGCATAGAGAAAGCGGACAGGATTGCACTCGATGTTAGGAGGTGCAATAAGTTTGTTCATAGGTTTTTGGTATTGTGGTTTATCCTCCTCCAGCTAGTTGCCATATAGAGGCCACATTACCAAGGTACCGCAAAGACAGGTTCGGCTCCCCAAGGAGTGTCATAACTCGCTCTACGGACCAAGAGTAAAGTGAGTTTAGGAAGAACGAAGATATGTTAGAGTGAAAGACAGAAGAAGTCGTGTATGAAGATAGCATAGAGAAAGCGGACAGGATTGCACTCGATGTT